CTTTACAAGTGACACAACACAATTTGCATATATATTATACATACTGTTTTCAAAATTTTCCACAAAAGACAGATTATGATACAAATTTAGAATTCCACCTACAAGCTCAGATTCAAAGAACTGGAGATCCATTTAGGTGTTTAAATACAAAAATGTAATACTTTTACAAGTTTCCAAGTAATTACTTTTCAAAGTATTTGAAAGAGACTACTCTTCATAGCAACATGGAACACTTGGCTTTAATCAAGACGGCTATAAGACTAAGTTTTGTCTCAGTGTGAGTTTGCTGATTAATGCAAATGCTCCAATTATGCTATAATTCTATATATATATATATCTGTATGCACACACACACACACACACACACACACAAGTGTATTATGTACTGATGGTTTATACAGTGCAAATTCTGGAGCATTTCATTCAGCTAAGCCATGACCTTTACTTCTTTGAAGTATTTCAAATTAAGAACTGTTCAGAAATATCACTAATGACTACCATGACTAATTCCAAAAAGGTGCCCCTTTCTCGCTTATTTATGATCAAAGTTACATGTGTCATGAACAAACTCTTATTTTTTTCTACAGCAGCAGGTATAAATAACAGCAAAGTATAGGTTAATTTTTGAACACTAGAACCTGAGAGTTTGATATGGTAAATGGTATCTTTTTGCAAATGTTCTAGGAGTCCTATCAACATTTCTAAAAAATATATATAATAAAATAATATGGCAAATCTTCAGCATTATATTCATTATAAACTGCAGAACAAACGAAGATTGCTCAGAAGCTTGAAGAAAAAAAGCAAGGAAGGAAGGAAGAGAGGCCGAGAGGGAGTGAGGGACTTGACACACGCATTTTCTTTGATGCAGACAAACCTGGAGTCCTAACATTAACCATGTGGTGGGTGAAGAGTTAGTACGACTCAAGAATGCTGAAAGTGAACACGCCAAGTCTGGATGTATGAAACGCATGCAAAAACGTACAGCTGAGGAGGCAACACGGGCTTATATTTTTAAGCGTACATGAGGGTAACATCTAATACTGCAGGCGCTGAAGGCAAAAAGAAAAAACAAAACGGGAATGGTCCAGCTAACGGAGAACTGAGGAGAGAGAAGCAGCCACACAGAAGAGCTCTGGGTAGTAAAGGGCCAACTTGCCCTACCATAGATGGGCGCTGAGGGAGGGCCTGTCCCCCAATTAGTTCTGGAATGATTTATTTTGGGACCCATGTGGTTATTCACCAGAACCGTGGCAATAACTTAAAACATTCATTCCAAAGATCAAAATAAGTTCTATCGGTTACATAAGAACATGCTATCGATGGAAATACGGGAGACTTCTGTAGATAAGTCAGAATTCCAGGCCCCCAAAAGAAGCTACTCGCAAGGGTCTTCACACAAGTTCTAGGCAGCACTGTTATTACTGAAGATTAATCAGCAAAGACCTTTAAACCTACTTTGTACTTAGTATTGTCTTCTTGGCTTTCTGAACTCTCCAAAGTACAGGTCCCTTCTCACCATTTCCTTCAGTTTGAATCAGCATAAGAAATGCTGGATCTGATTAGCTATCCTAAGTCAACCACAGCCAAGTGTCTTCTCCCAACTTATTTGCTCTATACCTGTTGCCATGAGTTACACCACCCCATGCCTTTCAAGTCAGAGGTCAGGGATTCGGTGGGACTTGATTTTTTTTCTTAGATCCATGCACAACCCGGAAAGGGACTATATATTAATGAAAAATAATGAAAAAAAAAAGCAGATTAGATATGTGCTTATATACACTTACATTTTTAAAGGCATATATCCTAGAGAATAAAACAAAATAACCACAATAACCACAACAACTATAATTGGCACTGCTAAATGAAGAAATATGTGGGAAAGGAAGAAGCAATCTATCAATTTATGAAACTGAATTTTCATTAGGTCCCAATAGAGATAGCAATGCAAAGAACTAAATACAAAATGAAACAAAAAACCCACCACTCATATTAAGAATATTCCCCTGCCAAAAATATAACCCCTCCCAAAAAAACAAGTAAATAAACAACACACAACTATTCTACTCACTATTGCCAACACAGGCAATAAGGGAAAGGGGAGAAGGGGAGATTTGTCATACACTGATCCTCAATTTTCATCTTGTACCTAGACATCACGCTAAGACTAGGTACAAAATCAGTAATAGGAAAACATTTATATACAGTTTTTAAAAGTTCATATATCCTGTCCTTTTCCCCTCCCCATAACCCACCCTAATCATTCTCTCCCTTAAAAAAATCACCCCAAATTATAAAACTATTGCCCATGCAGGCAGTGAGGGAAGGGATGCAGAGGAGATTTATCATACCTATGGACCTCCGTGTTTCATTATGTAACTACAAGTCCCACAAAGGACTGAGTACTAAGTGAATTAACACACAAAACGTGGCAAACATTTATATACATTAAAAAAATTTTTACACACACACACACACGCGCACGCACACATACACACTCTCTCTCTCTCTCTCTCTCTCTCTCTCACTCAGACTACACCCACCCCCCACCCCTCCAAAAAAAGAAACTAAACATCTATTCTTCTACCACTGCCGGCCAGGCAATGAGGGAAGGGGAGTAGGGGAGATTTTTCATAGAATCAATCTCAACTTTCAGTAAGTACCTAAATCGTCATGCAAAGGACTAGATTCAAAATGAAGTAAACACCAAAAAGAAGCAGAAACATTTATATACATTTAAAAAACCACCTATCTTACCTAATAAGCCCATTCCCCATTAAGAACTTCAAACACAAAAAACAAACACCAAGTCCTCCAGTATCCTCCTACAGTCGTGCACAGGCTGTAAGGGAAGAGAGAACAGGTTTAACACGCCTCTGGATCTGGGCCTCTGCACTACGCTGCATATCTAAAAATCCAAATTAAAAAAAAAAATCAGTTCAAAGTAAAAGATCAAAACAACCACCAACACCACCACAGCAGACGTATATATACATCTTTTAAAATGTAAACCCAGAAATGCCCCCACCACCCTGCCAAAAAAACCCTCTAAACAACTATGCCGCTAGTCATTGCCCGGATAGGCAATAAGGGAAGGGGAAAAGAGGAGATTTTTTTCATAGAATGAACCTTAATTTTCACCATGTACCTAAATATCCATGGAAAGAGCTAGGTACAAGATGTAGTAACAGAAAAAAGGAACAAAAATATTTATATACATTTTAAAAAGTACATATCCCCACCCTCTCTGAGGAGGGAGGGGTAGAGTAAAAAAACTAATCTAGAACTACTCTAAAACTATTGCCCACAGAGGCAATAATGGGAGGGGACAAGAGGACACCGTCATACATTCAGACCTCCACATCTCATTAGGTACCCCCATGTCCAAGAAAGGGACAGGGTACAAAATGGAATAACACAATGTAGAAACGAACATTGTACATACAGTTTTCAAAAGTCTATATCCTGCCCTTAGTCCCTTCCCACCCCCAAGATCTCAAAAAACCCAAACTACTTGAAAATTATTGCCTACATCGATAAAAAGGGAAAGGAAGAAGAGGAGATTGCTACACATCTAGAACTCCATGGTTCTTTAGGAACCTATGTGTCCAAGTGAAAGACTGGGTACACAGAAAAGCACTATATAATAAGGAAGTAAACACACACACACACACACACACACACACACACACACACATTTAAAGTATTTACCCCCAAACCCACAAAAGAACCCCTGAAACTAATTAACTACTCTACCAGCTATTGCCCACTCAGGCAATAAGGGAAGGGGACAAGAGGAGATTGTTATACATCCGGACCTCCGTGGTTCATTGGGTGACTTCCAGTTGGGATACCCAATGAAATAATACAACTTGGTAGTAAAAACAGGTATATACAGCATGTACACATCCCTCCCCCCCCCCCCCCCCCCCGCCCAAACCCCCCCCCAACAACGACTCTACCAGCTATTGCCCACTCGGGCAATAAGGGAAGGGGACAAGAGGAGAATGTCATACATCCGGACCTCCACGTCTCATTGCGTACTTTGACGTCCTCTCAGGAGGAGGCAGTACGAAATGAATAAGTAATGTCAAGTAGTAGGAAGTCTATTTACATATAAGTACATACTCTGCTTTCTCCCACCCCGCAAAACAAAACAAAACATCAGCTACCACCCAAGAAGGCAATAAGGAAAAGGGCAAACAGGCAATCTGTCATACTCTGAACCTCAATTTCACTAAATATGTATGCACACATCCAAAAGAACATACATAAAATGAAACATAAAGAAAGGGGCATAACACAGATAGACATCTAGAAGGATGATACACAACCCCCACCCCACAAGACTAGATCCAAACAAGAGCAGCTACAACTAATCTGTAGTTACTGTCCATGCAAGCAACAAGGGAAGCAATACCTGGGCATCCATCAGACTTCTGGACTGCCACAGTTCATTAGGAAAATGAACCACGAGAAAGACGAACAAAGTGCAAAATGAAATAACACCCACAAAACAGCAGCAAAAACATTCTGCATGGATTTTAAAAAGAACGTACTCTGTTCTCCCCCCCCACCCCCCCAGTATCACCATCAACTTCCAAAAAAGAAACATCAAGTAACTACTGGGCAGCCGTTGCTCACACAGGCAATATAGGAAGGGCAGAAGAGATTCTCACAGGACAGTATCTCACTCTTTATCAGAAGACAGTACATAGAATGAAGGAAAATAAAAGTAGATCAAAACCACGTATGTACATTCAAAAAGTATATACCCCTTTCCCCACCAAAAGCCATTCAAAGACATCAATCCACTGCTCTATGGGCTATTGCACATGCAGAGAAGGGAAAGGGAGGAGAGGAGATTTATCCCACGTGTGAACAGCCACTTCTCATTCAGGACCTACTGCCAGTGCAGAGAATGAAGCACAAAAGAAAAGAATGCAAAAATTAGCAAAAATACACACATTCTTTTTTTAAAGTACAAATGGAAGTGTGAGAGAAGAAGCCCTTTAGAAAGAGAATTCATTGCAGTAAAAACCAAATGACAAAGGCAAAGGGGAGAAAAAGAGCTCTATCAGACCTATGGAATTCAGATCTCATTTTGCAAACTCCACCCAGGAAACGCTGTCCTCGGCGAGATACATGTCCTGAACTCCTACGCCTTCTCTGCAGCCCCATGAAATGAAAGGGGGTGACATTAAAACTCAGCAATCCGACCACACATTATGGGCCCAGGTGCTTTAGTTTGCACTGGCTTTTACAATACAACTCAGTAACAGGCTACCAGTAATCTGACAAATTCAACACTTAACTTTCATTTCTTACTTTCCAGTATTCAGAAAGGACTCTGTTCGGTCCCCAGGGAGACTGACGCAGCCCCAGAGCCTCTATATACCCAGAACTCCTCTGACAGCTCTTTTGTTCCTACGGAGGCTCAAGTACAATAAAATGAAAACATGAATGGCAAAGAGAATTAAGCGGAACCTGGGATGGAAAGGAAGTTCAGGAACACTCACACAATGGCAACACAGTTTCACTTACAGGGATTTATAGAAAACGATGAGATGGCGGCCGGCCGCTGGGGGTGGGAGCTGACACTACCTGCAGTTTAATGTATCCAATCTCTTGCTGATAAAGAACTTGGATGCCTTAGATTTCTACTTCATCTCCAAAGCACAAGTTTTTCTTCTACAATTCCAAATTCCCAACTTTACCTTTCTTAATCATCCAGCATAATGGGTGTCTTCTATTACGTTCAAGCAGCTCGTCCATCTGCAATGAACATGAACACCTGACCGCGTCACGCTAGGCCTGGCGAGCCACAGGCGCACAGACGGGAGTTCTCAGAGACACCATGGCTAAGTCAAAGTGTGGGGGCATAAAACTTCAAAAGCTACAGTTATGCCTGTTATGTCACATGTTCTACCTATTTCATAGCCTTATATTCCTGACTAAGGGTTGTTTTTGGAAGTGCCATAGAGATGGGTTAGCTTGACATTAAAAATTATGGAATTCTGTGGGAAACAGTGAGGTGAGGGCTACTCTAGGGGAGGCCCACAAACAGAACTACAGCCAGCAGGGATCCCGCATTATGGCAATGAACAGATTGAGTACAAAGAAAGCAATGGATTACAAGGTAGCTCTTCTTTTAGCCCATGTTTTGATAAGAATTTACTTAAACATTACCCTCTGCCCACACACACACATACACACACACTCAGGAAAAATGATATAATTCAAGATAAGATTTGCCATATGCAGAGTTAACACACATTACAGGAGCAATGTAAAGATGGGCAGGTATAACTGAAAAATCTTAACTGATGTTGAGAAGTAGCAAAATTTAAACTCTGTATCAAAGTGGAATTCAGTAATATAACATGGTAAAAAACCAGCAACCAAAAAACCCCTCAAAAGTTTAGTATTTTCCCCACTCTGAAAATATAAAAACACACTAACTTCCAATATCAACTAAACTATTATCCGTCTGCTGAGCACAAGAGGAATAAAGACCTACAATCACCCCAGTTTCCATAAGACATCTTGAGGATTCTGCAATTCTCCGGATATAATATTTTGTACTCTGAACCAGAGGTAAATGTTTAGAAAAGACTAACTTGGGGAAAAACACACTAGGATTAAAGAAAGCTACCTTTAGCTTGCCAGCATTTTAAATTTTAGTATATAAAAATATTTCCATAAAATAAAATATAATTTTATACACAATCCCACATATTTTCACTGTATACCTGCTAACTTAAAAAAAGGTGACCTTTCCCATTGATTCTCTGGAGTGTTTTAAGTGCTCACAAATGGGTATCTACCCTTTTTATGTACACAGATGTTTTCAAACAAAATATTAAGTACTCAAAAATTATTAGGAAGAAAGCTTTTCCCCTAAGAATCAAAGAAACTCAACAATCTAGGTATTAAGTCTGCATAGCTCAAAAAATTCAAGTACAGTATTTCTCCTTTACAAGGAGTGAAAATGCCATACGATTTCGGAAATCTTCCCTTTCTTTCTTTCCTTGGCCATTCCTTTTAATCAGTTAGTTTGGCCATGATAGAAACAAAATAAAACAAAACAAACAAAACCCACTGATTTTTCAACTAAAGAAAAGTACTGTTTTGATAGTAGAAAAAATTCAAAGCCCACCATATTAAATCTGAATCAAGTTCCTTCTATCCCATATTCTCTTTATTCCTTTAAGGTACTATGGTGAACTTCAAATAAAAATGTTCAATTTCTCAAAGGCCCTATTTTAAAATATGCTTCTAATATATGCTACCATAGAACATGAAAATCTACACAGGAGTATGACTGACAGAGCAAGTGTCTATGATCAGGTAACATCAAAGGCAACCTAAACTAATTTTATTTTTAGTAACAGTGATAAAGTCATGATAAAAGACAACAGTACTAACAAAATGCTTGCCACACATGTAGACATATTCTTCTATAACACAAGCTATATCTATGGCAGGGAGTGATAAAGGTGTACAGATTCGGAGAATACTGGAATTCATAAATAAAATAATTATAATTAAAGCTAGCTCAGTTTGAAACATTTTCTTAAAAGGTGAAAAAATAAGTACTAGATATCTGGAAAATTTAATCTCTTATCCTTGTTACTTAGCTTTTCAGAACAACAAAAATTTAAAAATTCTGTAGCACCTGGCTGTTCGGCAGGAAAAAAAAAAAATAGAAGCTATAGATCTTATTTAAACTTTGTTTCGGAAAATAAAAGATTAATCAAAACCTCAAACCAAAGTAGATCTGCACACCTGAGATCAGTTTTCTAACAGTTGTGGGATTCGCAGACTGCGTTACCATAGGTTTTGAAGCTATGTTCTGTACCACACTCAAGGAACATCTATCATCTCTCACCAGGCAGCAACAAGGCCGGCAGAGCAGCGCCGCAGAGGCCGGCTCCCACGGTAGATCTTCCCTTGTTTCGCTGGGTCAGTACTTTCCGGATACTGAGAAGCAGAACAGAACCAAAACAGACGTTTCCCCCCATTTGTGTATCCTCAAAGTAGAAAAATTACTCACTGTTTTTGTAGATGTTGGCATACAGGTGAATGTCATTTTGTAATAAATAACTACGTGCTGCCCAAAGACAATCCGAGAAAGACAGATGAAAACCACAGACGGGCCCTGAGCGAACTAGAACTCCTAAAGACTGCAAACGAGTCGGAAGCAATTCTGACTTCACCTTGGCTTTCTGCAAAAGCAGCAGAGTCCCTGTTAACAAGCTCTCTGAACGGGCAACAAAATGGGGCACAGTCGTGCATGCTACAACCACCACGTCAGAGTTTTGAGGTTCTTCTCCATCCAACGGATATTCAACTGGATGACTTCCAGAGCCTCCTGGACACAGCGAAGCCGAAAAGTTGCCTCTGACTGATTTTCAAAGAACGCCTGGACCTGTAAAAGTTGCATGCAGAAGTATTTCAAAAGAACAGGAAATCATAGGTAACTCTGAATATCCTTTTCTGATAAGTTTAACTGAGTCATGCCTACGCTGAGTTCTTGAAGGAAGTACAGAAAAGGACTTTATTTTTGTTTTATTTTATTTTAATTTTTAAAAGATTTTATTTATTTATTTGAGAGAGAAAGAGAGAAAGCAAGAGAGAGTACGAGCAAAGGGTGGGAGCAGGGAGAGGGAGAAGGAGACACCCCGCTGAGCAGGGAGTCTGATGCGGGACTCAATCCCAGGACCTTGGGACCATGACCTGAGTGGAAGGCAGACGCATAACCAACTGAGCCACCCAGGTGTCTCCAAGAAGTACTTTAATATTTGAAGTATTTATATCAATTCCTGATCACGTATGGTGAAATCTGAGGTAATTTTAAAAATGAATTGCCCTTAGTTCCACAAGCATGAATTTTTCCAGTTTAGAATGAGAAAAAAGAAAAAAAGCCAAGTAACAGTAAATGAAGTAGTCTAAAATTAGAATTAGTGCCCAGTTCTACCTTGGGAATGGAATTCTTTAAAACCATTTTATTACCACTTAAAAAGAGACTTGGCATATGCTGGTGTTAATTCAAAAAATGATCTGTATCAGGCAGATGCAGGAATACTGTTGAGAATGGAATCAGAAATCTTCCTCATCAGAATGTGTCCTCGTTGCTGAGCCCCCGCCCCCAACTTTAAGAAGTAATCCCGGGGCAGAATTGCTGGCACTGACCAAGGCCAACAGAGAGAAGGGGCAGAAACTGGCATGACAAGGCTCCATCTGACTTAGACTGAGCAGCCTAAGGGGAAAGGGTGACCCAATCTCCCTGCTAACATTTTATACAACCAACCTCAGACAAATGCGCCTTTGTTGAAAACAGGTGCGTCGACCCAGCAACAATACTTTGTATGGTATAGGACCCCAGATGAAACCTGAAGAAACACAAATACAAGAGCCAAAAGAGCAAAAACATGAGGCAGCTGCTAGGAAGCAAAGTTCCTAAGTGCAAAAGAATTATTTGACCATACATTATACAGGCCAAAGGCGGACTGGGAGTCCTGCTCCTGGGTAACGAAGCTCAGTAAATCGGAAGTAACCCTACACACATTCCCACTATCAGCGGCAAGGAAAGGTGGGCAGAAAAAGGCAGGAGTTATGGATACCCAGATAAATTATTAATTCATTTAATTGATTCAAAAATCACACCTTACCCCAGAAATGCCATTACTACTTTGAAAGAAAAAAAAAAAAAAAAATCCTCCGCATGCTGTCTGGGTGGCTGTTGAGTTCTTATTCAATCCCTTGGCAATGAAGAGGTATTTTTCAACACACATAACTAAACAGCTCTTCTGAAATAGTCAATGGCCACGTGAAGCGAAGTGACCTAAGAGTCAAGCATGGCTGGGCTTAATCAGTACCCGAATGGAGCACCACTGTCAAACGACTCACATTATGGGATTACATTTACAAGGGTGAAAATTTCTGGGTGTTTCAGTTAAACTGTCACTGAAGCATTTTTCCTCTCACAGCAGATCTTAAACCCTATGAATCAGTACAACATTGGGAAGAGTTTCAAATGAAGAACCGGAGAATATGAAAAATTAGTAGTTATCTGAGAAACTTACTTCTGGACAAGCTTGCTCCAGTTCTCTTTGACAAAATCCCATGCCAGCAAGTGTCCAGGGAAGTGTCGGCCAACTGTTCTAATGATGAAAGACAGCTTTTGTGTTCGGATGGTATCGCCACTAAGGCTATTTTTCATTAACCTGAAGAGCAAAGCAGATGTAGTTTCCAAAATAAGTATTTGTCATGAAGCGATCACTGAACTTAAAATCAGTGCCAGTCTCCTAATTAAGGTTCTGAAGCAATTCAAAGGATGTAAGTTTTGGGTTGGTCTAAGATTGATCTATACACTGAAAACTTGTCATTTTTTTACATGAAGCAGAACTCACCAATAAGATAAGGACTTAAATATACTGTCACACAATAATAAAATTCTTAATGTAGTAAGGACATTTAGGAAATAAATTCAAATAGAACTTATTATAACTCTGAAGACCGGATTTTGTCGTTGTTGTTGTTAAAAACCTTATTTGATATGAGTAGATAGGTACATTGGTACTCTTAAAAAACTGGGCTGTTTGATGTAAAAAAGCAAGAACATTTTAGAATATGCTTTTAATATTAATAGTTAACATTTATCGATACTTTACATGTACTAGATTATGTTCTAAATTCTTGACACAACAAGGCTTCAAATAGAGAATCATTACCTATCTCCACTTTACAGTTTAAGAAACTGAGGTTATTTAAATTGACATCAGGACACAGCTGATAAATACTAAAGCCTGATACTTAAATAAATGCAATTCTCATCTATCATGCTAGAATAACTGTTTCTAGCAGGAAAACACATAACCCCAAAGAATGCAGAACAATTTTTTTTTAAAGATTTTATTTATTTGACAGAGAGAGATCACAAGTAGGCAGAGAGTCAGGCAGAGAGAGAGGAGGAAGCAGGCTCCCTGCTGAGCAGAGAGCCTGATGCGGGGCTCGATCCCAGGACTCTGAGATCACGACCTGAGCTGAAGGCAGAGACTTTAACCCACTGAGCCACCCAGGCGCCCCAGAACAATTTTTAATGGGAGGAAACCCAAATGCCCACCAAGATGTGATGGATTAAATAACATGTGATAGAGCCATATTGTGGAATGGTGTGTAGCCATAAAAACAAATGAAATAAGCTTTATGAATGAACAAGGCAAATCTCAAAGACTGATCACTCACTACAAAGAATGTTACAGAACACCCGGTACAGTATAAACTATGCTCAGTATATAAATACACACACCGGGACAGACGCTGTTAACAGAGAGAAGAGAGTAAGGATAGAAGTGAGGGGTCATATGAGAGGTACTTTCACATTTTATTCCGTTTCCTTAGGTACTGTTTAAATATTTATACTGGGGAATTCATCAATGTACTACTAGTTCAAGACAAAATCATTACTGATTTAAAAACAAAAACTTTTTTTTTTATTTGCTTGGGTCAGAGGCCGGCTACTACTTTAAAGAAAATGACTATAGTGCGTCCTCTGGAAAGTGGGTCTGGACAGGTGCTAAGAACACCTCTAGAACACTAGAAGGATTTACCTGAGCAAAAAGCAATGAGAGCCACGTGCCTCTCCTTTCCTTCCCACTGCTGACTCTCAAGATACCTTCATATTTCTCCTGGTTACCTACAGCTCCTCTACCTGACACTGACTCTTCTTCCTGCCAGGAAACCTCACCTCCTTACTGCCCCTCTCACCCCATGTGAAACTACCACCTCTAGCCCTTCATCTGCTGGATATTAAAAAGGAGGAAAGGTCTGGGGCACCTGGGTGGCTCTATTGGTTAAGCGTCTGCCTTCGGCTCAGGTCATGATCAGGTCTGCTGCTCCCACTGCTTATGTACGTTCTCTGTCAATTGAATAAATACAATCTCTAAGAAAAAAAAAAGGAAAGGTCTGACAAATTCACATGAATGTATAACCCATGGTTTTTACATGTTTTACTGAAGTGTCTGCATTTTTAAAATGATAGCTTGGATAGAGCAATGCCTTGACCAAAAAAAAAAAAAAAAAAAGGAAAGAAAAGAAAAAGCACTAACCAAAGATAACATTTCAAGCAGATCAAAAAGTTCTTAAGCACAATGGAGAAGGGGACTGTGATTTTTGGCATCTCCCAATCTCTTTTAGGCAAAGCCCCTCCTGCCCATCCGTACAGGTCTAGTCCCTGAGACGAAGCCCAGCACATGTGGGCTCCTCCACACACTGTCCAAAGTCAAGGCTAGTCCACAAGTAAAGGCAGAAATAGGGAGATCCCAGAGAAAAGGAGCTCCCCAAACCCAGGAGCACCATGTTTTTATGCTTTTGGTTTTTATATATCATATTGCTTGGGTGGTTTCATACCAGTAAAGTTTCCGTACATCCTCTGAGCTGGCAAGAGCTTCAAGTATTTTATTCTTTTCTGCTTCGGAGTCTATAGAGACATACTTGCTTAACAGGAATGACCAGCCTTTCTCCGTTTTTGCTCCAACCTTGAACACAGTACTCATGACATCAGTAGGTAGGCTGTAAGAAAGGTACGAATATGAGAAAAACAAGGAAAAGAAATCCTGGATACAAAGGCAAGGAATTGACTAGTGGTGGTTGTGGAGTCATAGCACATAACAGAAGAATCTTTACAACTCATTGTCAAGAAAATATTTAACTCAGTGGGCAACGACTTCCCTGGTGGTGTGACCATAAAGACTATCAATTCAACTTAATGCAGTAATTATTCACTGAGCACCCACAAAGAACCAGGCAGACACCTGGTTGGAAGCTGGGAAAGAGAAGGAGACCCAGTCTCTCCCTCTGGGAATTCAGAGGCTATCACAATGTACAGAATAAATCAATGCATTACCACGTATTGTGGTGAGTTCCATGGTGGAAATACAGTGGTGAGAAGAGGGGAAGAAGCAGTTTTCTGGCCTTATTAAGATCTCAGAGCTGGAAAGGATGTCAGTAGGTTATCCCAATCCTCCACCCCAACTCCCATCTGATGCTTGAATCTATTTTCATAATGCCCACTAAGGAACACAGAGAGAACCAGTCATCATCAAAAACATGTCTACTAACTGCTAACTACACTTGCTATGGTATAGCGCTAAATTACAAAAGACTTGTTTGACAGCTCACACCCACACCTATGGCTGCTATAAAAAAGCAGAAAACAGCAAGTACGTGGTGAGGATGTGACAAAACTGGAACCCCTGTGCCCTACTGGTGGGACTATAAAATGGTGCAACCACTATGTAAAACAACATGGAGGTAGCCCCCCCTCCCAAATTAAAAATAGATCTACCATATGATAGAGCAATAGCACTTCTAGTTACACATCTGAAAGAGTCAGAAGCAGTCTTGAAGAGGTATTTGTATACCTATGTTCACAGCAGCATTATCTGCAAAAGCCAAAAGGTGGAAGCAACTCAAATGTCTATCAATGGGTGAATCAAGAAACAAAATTCGGTGTGTATATACCATCTATACCGTATACACACAATGAATATATTCAGCCTTAAAAAGGAACAACATTCTAACACATGCTACAACACAGATGAACCTTGAGGACAAGTGAAACAAGTCAGTCAGAAAAAGACAAATACTGTACATTTCACTCACATAGGGTACTTAGAGCAGAAAACAGAACCGTGGCTGCCAGAGGCTGGGGACTGGAGAAAATGGGGAGTTGTCTGGGTAAGGAGTTCACGTTCAAGATAAAAAGTTCTGGAGACTCATTGCTCAACAGTGTGAGTACACTGACACTACTGAACTGTACACTTAAAACATGTTGAGATAATAAATTTTATGCTTCATGTATTTTACTACGGTTTAAAAAAACAGTCTTATTTGACAATGCAAGTACACAGAATTCACCTACACTAACAGTCTTATAACATTTTTGAGCCAGGATGAAAAGATCCTGGTTTCAGTACATGATACTGAGGTAAGGAAGAGGAAGAGAGCTCATTTGAGTGGAAGGACATGTCACCTTTGAGTTCCGTTGGATGCCACCCAATCGTCAAACAGCTTCATGGCCACAGTGCTGTAGTTCTCGAGGCTGTGGGCGCACGCGAACTCGAGCAAGACTGACCGAAGCTCCCGGGCAGACGGGGGGCCGTCGTCAGTCCAAGTCTGCTGTTCGATTTGGCTTCGAAGTAATTGAAATACCCTGGCCTACAGAGACAAATTGTTAACAATCATTAGGACAATCAGAAAAATCAAGATGGCTAGATCTTTCTTCCCCAATGTTCACTCAGGGAGACAAAAGAGGGTCTAGGTATTACTTCATAAATATCAACTGACATACAAAGCCCACGTACAACTGGGCAAAACCACTCAATAACAAAGACTATACATCAGGTTTTAGAGCCAAGGGGGAGAGGGTCTCTTAATTACATAACACAGAAAGAACAGATGGCTTCACTGCAGTAGAAAACCTGTCTTCTGTGTGTACTCAGTGAGAAGATATTTTCCTGCCAGCAAGTATCACTTATAGCCACTGCCAGAAGCGAGCTGGAACTTTCTAACCTCATGACTTTAGACTCCATAAACCCATAAAACAATGAGAAAAATATACTTCTTTACCGACAGGCAGATGTTTAAATGTCTCTAAATGCAATATTAAAGGAATACTTAAAATATCAGTTAGCTTGATGATGTAACAAATTAATCTAATTGAATTAGCAAGAAAAGGAGGCATGCAGGCAAGAGTTGTTTATAGTTATCTCCCCACCCTCAACTTTTTATGTAAAGTATTTTCAGACCTGTAGTAAAACAACAACAGTAACACAGTGAATACCCATATGCTAGATTCATTGGTTTGTAACACTCATACGCCCCAGAAAATCAGCTCAAATTCTTCACGGAGCATCTTTTTCTTGCAGAGTACCACGGTCAATACCTAAAATGAGTCCTAGTTGGAGCTTTTTAAACTGCTGACGCCATTTTCTCAGCAGACCTTCTCTAAGGAAGTCTCCCATGGAGCTACGAGAAAGAAAAAAAGGAATCTGGGCAAGGAGAAGGACTCCAAGTTTGTGATAATGTGTCAACTCGCTTTTGTTTGCATCAAAAGCAATGAAATAGAGAACAGACACCTTGTGGAATGTGTGAATAACAAAGCCTGCTAGTCATTGAGAAGACATGAAGTGGAAAAATACTTGCCACGCTGATGGATAATCCAAGAGACATGAAAGCAAGGCAGGAGGTCCTACTGATACACACGGCTGCACCGAGCATGCCGCCTGCCACTGGCCTGACGTTCTCAATGGCATGACGGCAAAACATCCCAAATGAATAAAGAATAAAAGAAAATTCAGAGCTACTCAGAACTGTCAAGCAAAAACAAGCGAAGAATGAGAAGAAAAAAAGTTACATGCTTGAGACACTACTAAAAAAAAATTCAGCAGAGAAAAATGTCAGTGAGAGTTTACTAAAACATATAGAAATGAGTAGGGGAAAAAAAAAAAAAACGGCACGTTAAAATACTGGAAGCAAGGGATGCCCAACACTTGAAGAAGCTCAGGCTAATTCCCGAGCAGTTATTCCACTGGAGTGACTGGGTGCAATCTTACTAGTTATTTCTGGTACCAAAGAGTTAAGATGAAATCCCCAAAGAGTTGATTTTATATATGTTTCAAATGATAACATAATAGAGCAAAGATTTTATTATAAAAATAATTGTTTTTAGAAAATTCCTGTTTTATCATTTTTATAAGTAATCCAGGTTATATTTTTAATATTAATAAATCATAGAGCACGTGCTTCTTTGTTGAAGCCAGTGGTTCAAAGAAAGAACCTGTTTTTCCATGATTCTAAATTATGTTTTGTAAAATGTAAACCCATTAAACAATAGAATCCAATCCTCTGATTTTATAAAATGAAAATGGCAAGTGGGGAGAGAAAATAAACGGATGGGTTATACAAGCTACAAACATTGGGTATGCAATAAAATGCAAGAACAGTTACACAAAATGATTTTTAAAATAAAACAGACAGGAAAGATGGTGGCATTTATATTATGGACTACATTTTGATTTACTGCTTTAATTTTACACTGATATGCCCAGGGAGTTCTTTCTTGGGTCAACTCAGCTTCTTAAAAGTGATGTGTCAGCTTTTATTGCAAAAGGTTTATCCCACCAATCCCTCATATGTAAAAGAATGACAGACTTGTAAGTGATGAAACAGGAATACGGCTGGGATCAGACAATAACATCAGATGTGAACCATTTGACACAATTCAAAAGTGCCTGCAGACCCTATCCACCCTAACACCACAGCATACATCACAAAATGTGATAGAGATGTATGTATTGTATAGGTATGTGCAGCCTAGATAACAAAATGACCAATATATGTTCAAAATGCTCTGGTGACAACAACACAGAAAATTAGACACTAGTCTTAATCACAAATACTATTTGAAGATTGGATCCAAGGACTCAGAAATGTCTATCATTCCTATCTCTAACTATAGTATCAGATTTTATATTTTGAGCACTTTGATGGTACCAGAATACCCTCTGAATTTAAGAGGCAATTTCTCACTCTTGGTTACCTAACCTGACTTTTAACTAATGATCAAGTGTACAAAATCTCCAGCAGTTATGGGCCCATAGGCTCACAAACACACATTAAGCTGCCCTTTTCCTCTAAGCATCCATCCCCTGGGCCCCGCCCTGACGTATGTTCTTCATAAACACATGCCTGCCCAGCACACTGGAAATCATCATCTGGGATGAGGACTCAGAGTTACTCGAGCGTCACAGAAAGAAAATACTCAAAAGATCTAACTCCTTAGATTGAATTTAGCATCTGTGTTCACAGCATAGAGACAGCCTGAGGTAAGTATCAAGTGCTTTCTGACACTAGGCCCCCAACAGAGTTACTGGAGAGAGACAGGGGGAAGAATGGCTTCTGTCACCATGAAATTTAACTAGCTGGGCAGCTTCAAGAACATTCAGCTAACTTTTTTTTTTTTTAAAGAATAATTCTTTACACATTTTTTTAAAAGATTTTATTTATTTATTTGACAGAAAGAGATCACAAGTAGGCAGAGAGGGCGGGGGAAGCAGGCTCCCTGCTGAGCAGACAGCCTGACACTGGGCTCAATCCCAGAACCCTGGGATTATGACCTGAGCTGAAGGCAGAGGCATTAACCTACTAAGCCACCCAGGCGCCCCCATTCTGCTAACTTCTTAAAGTATATTCACTACCAACATGATCTTTCAATAGTTAAAAAAAAAAAAATGAGTGATACATACGCAAGTTATTTATTGTATCCCCCCAACATTCATGTCTGCTTAGAATCTGTGAGTGTAAAGTTATTTGGGAATAGGTATTTGCAGATGTAATTGATTTAAGATAAGGTCATACTGAATTGGATGGGCCCAAATCTACTGACTGGTGCCTATATAAAAACAGGGAAATTTGGACACAGAAACAAAGAGAGAAAGTCAGGTCAAGACAGAGGCAGAAATTGTAGTGATGCATCTACAAGCTAAGGAATGCTAAGTACCGCTGGCAACTGCTCAAAGCTGGCAGAGACGCATGAACACAGTCTCCCTCAGAAGGAATCCATCTGCCCTGCCAACACCTTAATTTTGGCCTTCTAGCTTCCAGAACTGTGAGAGAACATGTTTCTGTTGTTTTAAGACAACAAGTTTGTACTAGTTTATTACGGCAGCTAAAGGAAACTAAATTACTACCGCAAGTGGTGTTGATTTGATATGGCACTAATAACCCCCAAAGTAATCATAAAAATTCAATAATAAAAAAATCTATGTATACAATGAAGCACACTGGTGACGGGTCAACTGGATGGCCATATCAAAAAAAGAATCTTTGTGTCTAACTCATACCATACACAAAAATCAATTCCAGATGGGTCATCGTTCTAAATGCGTAAGGTAAAATCATAAAGTTTTCAGAAGGGAACAAGGGAGAAAATCTGTGGGTTGGCAGATTTCATACACAAAAATTAAGAATTTACGCTAATCAAAAAACATCATAAAGAGACTGAAGAAGTAAGCCTGAGGGGGAGAAGATACTTGGAAATATACATGAGCAACAAAGGACTCCTATCTTGAATATATAAAGAGCTCTACAAATCAATTAGAAAAGGGCAGAAAATCCAATAGAAAAAACATTAATCACCTGGGCACTTGACCAAAGTGTACCTCTAATGGTCAATAAACAAATCCAAAGGAATTCATCTTCACTAGCCATTAGGGAAATACAAATAATTTTTTTTAAAGATTTTACTTATTTATCTGAGAGAGAGAAAGAGCACGAGAGTGGGGTGAGGGACAGGAGGAGAAGCAGGGTCCCCACTGAGCAGGGAGCCCACGCGGGACTTGATCCTGGAACTCTGGGATCGTGACCTGAGCAGAAGGCAGATGCTTAACTCACTGACTCACCCAGGCACCCGGGAAATACAAATTAAAGCCAAAATTGCAATACCACTATACATCCAATAGAGATAAAAGATAAAAGATAAAAGAGATAAGAAGAGAGATTAAAAAAAAAAAGAGATAAAAGATCTCTATTAATACAAAGTGTTGACAAGGATACAGAGCCAGAATAGTACTTAAATTCTCATACCCTCCTGATGGAGCATAAACTGATACAACATTGAACAACGATTTGAGGGTAAGGTATTAACTATAAATATGTTATGACTCAGCAATTCCACTTCCAGACACATACCCCATGGAAATGCATACATATATTCAACAAAGCTATATATAAGAATATTTGTAGCAATGCTATTCATAATAGCTCCAAATTGCAAACAACTCAAACGTTCATCTACAGTAGCTGAAGTGGCTACCACAAAGCCAATCTCTTCCATATACTAACAGTACAAAGTCAGTGTTGGATTCTAAATTTGCCCTTAAGAGACCAATAAGTTATTTGCATACTCCTCGAAGTGCACACAGAGACTATAAATTTTATTAACATTTTAAATATAAAAGAAATCTCAAATATTAAGTTGACAACTTTATTTTCAAGGGCACTAAGTGTAAGTCTGTCATCTTAAACCTGAAACACATGGTCTACAAATTTTTCAAATGGTTTTAATTTATAACCTCCATCTAAAAAAATGATAGCAGCAAAGAAACAGTCTTGATTTTTCCAACCAAAAGGTGTCCTTTGAAAGATGACATTGCTAGAAGACAAAATAAGTTAAAATACAGCAACATAACACAAAACAACTGGGCTTCAGAGTAGAACTAATCTGAGTTTGAAGCTCAGCTTTTTAATTTACTAGTAAGTGATGGGAGGGAGGTTATTGATTCTACCTATCTATTCAAGGAAGGTAGAGATATCTGTCTGGCATTGTGTGAGGATTAAATGAGGTAATCTACATTAAACACTTAAGCATGGTGTATAGAACATAACAAGCACTGAAATGAACCAGTTTCTGGTATGTTTCACTCATTTGTTTGCTCAGTATTTACTATGGGTTGAGTCACATTTTGAAGATACTGGTTTTTATTAAGGATGGTAAGAGCCTCATGATACAGAAGAAAGTTGAAAATCTTAATTAGAAAAGCCCTCAGAAATCGTCTGACTTAAGCATCACACTTAAGGGGAGGGATAGGCATGGCTCTTTTGGGGTCAGATCAGAGACCTGGGGGGAAGGGAGCTTCTCAAGCTCCATATGGCCCACCAGCTGGCCTTGCCTCCTCACACTGAGAATAGTGTGTGATGGGAGAACTCATCACAGAAGATGTGCAGTAGCCTAACAAGAGGCAGAAAGGGGGTTGTTTAAAAAAAAAAAAAAAAAAAAAAAAAAAAGATGTAATCCAACCTCTTGCCTTCCCCAGTGAAGACACCAAAACCCTAAAAGACATTCTAATTTCTGGTTCAATACTTTCTTCCTTTTTCTGAAAGCTGCCTTTTGCCTAGTCCCTGGAAAATCTGACTGGTCTCTAAAGCAAAACCTGTTGTCAAAATGTGATGATTCAGAGTCAGATGAAACAAAGAATTAATCTCTTCCTCCCAAACTTTTACTCTGTCAACAGTTTAATACTGAGAGATCAGTATTAAATCTAATTTAATACTAATTAGGCAACTTTCCCTTTTTTAAAAAAGGGAAAGCAGTCCCCAATACCGAGACTCCTTTAGTACTTTGCAGAGAAATATATCCACCAGTATCATCCTCCATAAGAGAGGTATCAGTAAGAACTCCTAAAACAGGATATTCTCAATACAAACATCACTGTCATTTCATAATGACCAACTAGGAAATCAATGGGGAACACCCCATTGCAAAAGGACCTACTTCAAGCATTTATTATGTAAAAATAGACTGGGATTTGAATAGAGGTTTTCTTTTCATGTGACCTCATTTTGACAGCAGTGTCAGAATTCTTTATTTTGATATTCAAACAAGACCATGTTATACAAGCCTTTTATCAACACTTCCTGCTCATCAATGTCATTATGATTCAAAGTAAAGACTTCATAACTAGGAAAATGAAGAAAAGGGAACGTGGCTGGTTGCTTTTTCAGCCAATTACTCTGCTGAACAGAACTGTGAATCACAACATTAAAGGCAAGCAACAAAGACATACTGGCAATAAGGGAGACTTACCACTACTCTTGAGGCCAGATCCATGTATCCTAGCTTTTCAAGGAGGTTACAGATGAGGCCGGTCTGGAACAGGGCTTCAGTGATGGGTGCGGTATAGTTCTCATTTCCAAGGTAATCAATCAAATCAAAGGCCCTCTGAATAGATACCTTGCCTAAGCTAAAAGGTAATGGAACAGAAAAGTCAATATGCTGAGGGAGATGAACTCTACAGACATGCAGAGAAATGTTATGAACAGATGGTGAGTCTTGAACTAAAATTTTAAGCTTAGAGTGGTATTCTGTAAAGTCAGACTAAATATTATTATCCTTGATTAAGTTCATGTGTATGACCCAAGGTTAAAGATAGATTTCATGAGAAAGATAAACAAGAGCTCAAGTTTTATTCCCCAAGTCACCTGTAAATTGCTACAGACTCATGGAAAGTATTATAACGTCCCGTTTCGTGGGAAACGATGGAGAGTGCTACCTTTATTTATTTATTTATTACTTATATTTACCAGGTGAGGACAAGTAGCATAAAGAGGATTTGAATCAAAAAGAAAATATTTTGTTATTTGTATGGGAATTTGTCAAACTTGTTACAGGTCCACTGTGAATTTATGGTGAGTATATTTTAAGAATTAACCATTTAGGTGAAGTCAAAACAATGATGGCTCAGATGATGTAAGGTCACTTCATACAAAATGAACCAAAATAAGAAGGTCAACAAAGGTCAGAAAGAACACTTTTGAATATTCCATGTGTCTCTAGACCCAATAACAACCCAAGTTGGTACTCTCACTTTTCAGAGGATAGCTACACACATCACTGCCATACATGGTTTTGGGATTCCGTAATGCACAGAGTAGTTAGGAGGCAAGCTGTACACAAGTAAGAAGGCCCCACTTCTCAGACACATTGCTTAAACCAGTGGGTAGGCACTAAGCTTCATGCCTAAACTAAATGCTGCTTGAAAAGAATTCTCTCATGAAATAAAGCCTGGATGCCTACTTTATTCAGCAAACAGGTGTCCTACTTGTCGGTATGGGCAAGTCTTAAGATATTATTTAAATCTTGTTATTTAACTGTTCACTGTGTTTGTAGTGGATGTTTCTATATAGATTATAACACCCCTGAAGGCAAGGATTAGAACTTACATCTTCCCAATCATCCAAAACGAGTACACCTAACAGACAATACATGCGCTAGTTCTCTTGAATTATTTTTCTAAAGTGTTTTTTTCTGCAGAACACTTGTTTAAAAACCAACCAGCCAACCCAAACCAAGCTCACGTTACCCTGCAAGCTCAAAGATGTTGTTGATGAGGTTGGCTCGGTCTTTGTCACTCAGGACGTAAGGATTTGTTTTCAGCTGTTTGATTAGTGCTTCCCAGTCGTCATCCTCATAGTGTACAACATAATAGCCATTCATGTTCGTATTGACTTTGACCCACTGCACTTCTTCTGTAAGATTGATGACACCTAATACAGACCAAAAAATGAGAGAAAGAGAGGAGAGATAATAGGAGAAGAAAAAGTACTGAATGGGCATTTTGTTTGTTTCAAAGTTAATATAGTATATTGTTACATTTAATTATTCTACTAAGGAACTAAATTTCTGCCTCCTAATGCAGTTATTTTAAAGTCAGCAAAGATCACCCACTCATTCGTTTCAAAAATTTTTTTACTTTTTTTTTTAACTTAAGATCAATTAGCCAACATATAGTATGTCGTTAGTGTTTGATGTAGTGTTCAATGAGTCATTAATTGCGTATAACACCTAGTGCTCACCACATCATGTGCCCTCCTTAATGGATAAAGAAGATGTGGTTCATATATATAAGGGATTATTACTCAGCCATCAGAAAGGATGAATACCTACCATTTACCACTCATTCATTTAACAATTTTTTATTTAATGGTGAACAAGGGAGAAATGCCCCTTCTTCCCCAGATCTTACAGCCCAATGTAGCCAGGCAAACAGAGTATCCTATAAATGTTATCGACGGAAAAAGAAAATTTGGCATTCAATGGAAGAACATAGAAGAAATGCTCCACTACCAAGTGGAGGTTAGGAGAGGTTTCTGGGAAGAAATGACATCCAAGTTGAGAGTTCAAGATATACAGGTGTTTTAAGAAGGTGATGAGAGTGTGTAGGGTGAGGAAGCAGGGAAGATAGTGAAAAAATATGTAAAAAGTGTTCCATCTCAGTCTTTGTCTTTAATTACATTGGAGGAAGAATAAATGAAGCTATTTAGAAAAGTCACATAATTCAAAGCTAGCAAAAATAGACATTAGGGGAGGATGAAGATCTCATTAGGCACAAATAAATAAGTCGGTTAAAATAACAGGAAAGTGATATGCATTTTTGGGTCCCTACTATTAAATATACGAATGCTAAAAGAATTGTTGGAAATTTATATAAAATGATTTCAATTAATAAGGAGTCATAAAATATATGACTACCAAAATATATTACTACAAAATCTGACTACAAAATATATGTAGGAATTTTTCAAATACTTTAAATTACAAATCGAGAAATGTCCTTTAAGTAAGTTGGCAACAAAGACTTGGATTTAATTTAATAGTTAAGCGTATGCTTCTGAGCATCTCCAGATTTACTTTTTACCAGAATCTAGTTCCATGAGCTTACTATTTTGTTTACTGCTAATCCCTCAGTGCCCAGAACAATGTTCCTAGCAGATACTAAAAAAAAAAATCCTTGGTGAATTAATAAATGAATGAACAAAATAACCATGTCACAGTAAAGGTTTTCAAACCAAATCTAAATATGGTTTATAGATACTTACGAAGTAAGTTTTCTTTTTATTTTTTTATTTATTTATTTGACAGAGAGAGATCACAAGTAGGCAGAGAGGCAGGCAGAGAGAGAGGAGGAAGCAGGCTCCCCGCTGAGCAGAGAGCCCGATGCAGGACTTGATCCCAGGACCCTGGGACCACGACCCAAGCCGAAGGCAGAGGCCTTAACCCACTGAGCCACCCAGGCACCCCACGAAGTAAGTTTTCTTTCCAACTTTAAGGAGTACTAATTTTTAAAAATTATCAAAGAAGAACAGAGACAAGGAAAATAATCTAAACTCAGACAATGATAGCTTTGTGGGGTGTATTCCGTGCCAAGACTTTTCCCATACACATTTTAATTAATGTAATATTTCACACAGTGGATAGATATGCATTAATATTTGTATTGCTTTTTTACCTATCGGTTTCTACCTCAGCCATTTTCCACTGTCTTCATATGCAGTATGAAGCATATCCACTATATTCAAGTATCTTCATAAATTCCATTTGAAAAGCTACCATAGTTTAACCCATCTTCTATTTGGAAATACTTACACCGTTTTAAAATTTTCACTACCATAATATTGGCTTTTGCACATAAAATGCATTAGAAACACATTTAAATTTGGTACCTAAAATCTCAGGGTCTATCAACTTCAAAAGCATGAATTATTAAAATTTATCAGATTCTCTTAATACCTGAGTTACTCCAATTCTACTGAAACTACAAAGGATGTTTAATATGGAAAAGACTTACATTCTGATCATGTCCTAACATGACATACCAAATAATTAGTTTTTTCCATTAAAAAATCCTATATTAATTTCTGTTCTATGGCTGATAGAGCAGAAGATGGGAAAAATCAACTACATTAATAGGATTTATTCCTTTTCGTAGAGCAGAATGCAGTTCTAAGGAATAATAGGGAGACATTTAAAAAAACAATGACTGATGAAATTATCAGTAACTACGGAAAAAATATCGACCTTCTCCAGGTCACCCAACGCAATTTCCTGCAGAGCTTTTATCAAGAAAGAACCTTGGGAATCAAGACTAAAGAGCTCCAAATATCCCTTTGCCAAAAAAAGAGGCAAGAAATGATAAGTATGGCAATTCTTCCACTGGATGGATACAGGAAAATACTGAAATACAGTGTATTTTGACTGATAAGCAATTTGCCGTGTTGTAAACTTGGCCAAGTCCAGACGGTAGAAAGGAGGAAGGCAGCTGGGAGTGTACTCGAAATTATTACTGTCATCTCGATGACAGAATACAAAGCAGTGTAGCCAAGAGCAGAGAGAGGAGAGTTATCATTTAAAGAATCAACATATTAGTCTCCCTCAGGTCTTCTGAATGATCCAGAATGAAGGACCTTAAAACCACAGGTATCAAAAAATAATAGCTTTGCACACAAGGGAGGTAACTACATCCTACAGCTCAAATGTGGATGAGGCTACCCTCATATGTTTTTAATTTATGGTAATCATTAACAGATTAAGAGTTCAATTTTCACAGTCCATTGAGTATTAAAAAAGACTCACTCCAATCTTATATGGCAGAAGCCCAGATGAAGCAATTTAGTAGTGATTTTAAAAACCATTTGTCAATAAGCTACGAAAATCAACTACTGTTTTATACAGAAACGCTTAAACACAGAAACAAAAAACAAGTTCTTACACTAAGTTGAGAAGTTGCCTGTGCAGCTTGCTCCAGAGGGCTAGCACGATATGCGCAGTTAAACTACATCCCCTCTTGTTCAAAAGCATTCCTTTCCCCAGTACCCTTTATTCTCCTTTATTTTACTGGGGGGGGGGGCAAGAGCAAAGGATGGCACATAATAAATACCTTAATTATATGCCCTTCCTTATTCTTTTCTTCCAAATGCCCTTTATTCAAAGACAACGCCAGGTCTTTTAGTTTGAGATACATACTTCTGGCACAGTGGTATCATCAATGTTTCAAATTAGATTTAATATAAAGATTTCCTACAGTTAAAGAGCTTAGGTCTGAGTAAGATGTGGATGAGAGAGGGAGTGGGGAGGGAAAAGAGGAGAGAAGGGAGAGGGAGACACTCATTATTTTAGTGAAATTTCCTCAATATGTAGCTTGACAAAATGGCCCCTTTCACACCTTCTTAGGCCCAACTATTAATCACTCAAAATTCACGTATGTGGGAAAAAGTGACAAAGATATTGATCAAACAGAACTCCTATAGTTGACTGAACAAACGGACTAACCCAGCAGCCCTGGCATTAGAACACATGGAAATATACTAGAGACTTAACAAATCACACACCGTACTAAAGTCATATGGCAAAAAGTAAGCCTCTGTAGCCCCCGTCTCCGCTACACTTCTTTGGAGAATAGAAAAAAATTAAAATGCAAATAAAATAAGAGTGCTTCTCACCAGAGCATTAGGAACCAAGAAGACCCAACCAACCACCCTCAGGGTCAATAAGTTTTAGTGAGGACAGAACATTTTCAGTGTGGACTCTCAAAACCTGAACTGCCAGGAATTGAAACAGCGGGGGCAGCAGCAGCAAGGGGAAGGACATTTGAGAAGAGGAAGTAACAGACACTGCTTTCATCATCTGTTGGCTCCGTTCCAGCTCCAGATTAAACCAATTATATGATGGCACATTTTGCATATTCCCCTTTATTAAGAATACTTGCAGAGGAAGGAAAATAGAAGTTATCATTTCATCAGGCTTTGAATGCTCTTTTCCTAAAACTTTTCACAGTGAGACCTGAAATTGAGTCACCTCGTTACATACTAAAGTTTATTCATTTAAAAAATGTGTGCGGGCTGGGTGCTAAGGTTGCAAAAGTGATTCACCTAGCCAGGAACTCTACCTTAAACAGGGAACACATCTAATGTGGGGACAGACCTAAGGGAAACAGTATTTACAGTATATCAAAAGAAGAAGAGTAGAGCGTATTATTAGAGCACACAAGCAGACATCTAACCTGTCTTGAGGTTAGGGAAGGCTGCCTTGAGCAAGCAGTGAGCACGCTGAGATCTGAAGAATGAATAAAGTAAATCAAGGGAGTGGAGAGGTAAGAGTGTTCTTCCGGGAGAGCAAACAGCACGTGCAAGGGCAGGAGAGCACAACTGAGGTATGAAACAGTTTCTGTAGAGCAGAAGCACAGAGTGCCAGGGAAGGGCGGAGGGAGAAAAGGCTACAGCAGGAAAACAGGAGCTAGACTTTGGGATACAAGACTCAAAGACAGTTTTCAAAGCTCACATTCAAACTGAGCTTTAAAAGATAAGGGTATTTTATAAAAGCAGGTTTCTCATTGCCCAATTATTTCTAATACCACCAAAAATTTACATACTATTGGGAGGTCTGGAAAATTTCCTTATTGGTCCAAAAAGGGAGATGGGATTAAGTGTTCTTTCTTTAGTCAGGGACTATCCTTCCACGGCCACTTAAAAGTAACGAGTTTTGTTTTCATCAAAGGCAGCCCTTCCTTGAACCCCTGGTTATGTTATATTAATCAAAGATATAATATTATCAAGTGTTCTTAATGTTTTAAATGAGATTGTTTTAACACTCTACTCTAGTTAAACGGCAATGCAACTGGCATGCTCACATATTTCACCTGGCATTATAAATTATTACATCACAGAAAGGCAACTTAGAAATGTGTATTAAATCACAAAAGATAACAGTCTTCATTTCTGAGAAGCATTCCTATGAAGAAGTTCATATAATGGCAAAACATTTAAGATCACAAATTTTTACTAAGACCTTTTTTTAAAATAGAGACAAATGGTGAATCAAGTGTCCAACAGTAAGGAAAAATCAAATCAATATTGTATGTGTTTTTTAAAAAGGCAAGATAAAAATCACTTGTACACAATGGTATCAACTAAGTAAAAAAAATTTAAAAATTATTAGAAAGAAATAATCATGAGAATAGTTGTGATGGGGTGATCTGTTCTCCATTTTCTAGATTTTATATAATGTGGATATACTATGTTTAAAGATTTCTTTTCCAATAATAACATGAATAACAACAGGTAACTTGTATATACCACGTAACACAGGCCAGACATCACTGTAGGTGCTTCACATAAATGAACTCAATCTATAACACTATAAAATAGGGTCATGATGTCCACTCCGTAGCTGAGGGAATGAGGCGCAGAGAATCACAGAGCTACGTGCAGGCATACAAGTGAACCAGACACTCTGGTTCCAAAGTCCATTCCATTAGCCACTAGACTCTACTCCCCTCTCAAAAATATAGGTGTGAAAACCAGATACAAATTCAAACAAGAAATGTTCCCTTTTCATAAATCTAGAGTATCACTAATGGTTCCTGCAGGACCCAAGATCTTCATGTTCTTTCAGGATGTAAATTAAGAGGGTGCATGGTGTGCCATTTACAGTGGTATTTAACAAATGGTCAGAAACTACATTTCAATTTTGTTTTTTATAGACTCCCATGGGTCCAACAACATATACAATCTTTACATTTTCTTATCCCCCTCTTCGGAATCATAATTTCTTACCCCATTTTCTTATTAACAAAAAATGTATACTATGTTCATAGGACATTTTGTAATGATTATTTGCTCTAAATCTAGATCATGAATCAACCTTTATAATGCATGAGAATCACCTGAAATGCAGTTGCCCAAACTCACCCCTAAAATGTAGAGAGCGGAGTACACTTTAAGAGACTGCTCTGCTTCTACTACTTTATACTTGGTAACATAAAATATTTATCTAGGATATAAAAAAAGACAGCATTTGCTGTTTTCTACCAAGACTGCTAGCACATTCAGGGCAATTTTCTATACTTTACTTCCCATGAACAAGAAAGACTAACTTCATACATGATATAGGGACCAAACTCACTTTAGTCCTATCTTGTGTAGGTGATTCGTAAAACTAGATCCAACAGTGTGCACTTTGGAAACCATAATCTCCTTCCTGCTGCTAGGTCAGAGTTTTAAAAAAATATGCTGTTACATATTTCTTATCAGAAAAGAATTAATTAGAGTCAAACCTGACTTTTTGTCCAGTAAATATACCAATGGGTATTTTGAGAAATTTCTTCCCTCAGTGACATAGGATAGTGGAATATGCCAGAGATAGCTGTAAAAAAAAAAATTTTGGAAGATTATTACTCTCTCCAGTATTTCAGTCAGTTACACATAATTTGTTGGGTCTTTTTTTTTTTCCTTTTGGCAGGAAGAAGAAATTTTCAAGCTATTCCCAGAAAAAGATAATCTTGTTAGGTTTCATAGAAACCTGTGACTACAAATACTCTAACCCAAGGTTGTAAGAGAGAGAGCTGGAGGAGAAAGCTAGAATGTACCTTGCATCTGAAGGTTGAATTTCAGGCTTCGTATTTAAAAAGTATCTTTCTTGTTGCACATGAAGCTCCCTTCCTTTTCTCTGAACAGTCACTAAAGGAAATCCTTTTTGCAGGGTCCAGGTTTTCATCATTTTTTTTACATCTAGTGTTTTATTTGTGATCTACCAAAAAAAAAAAAAAAAGAATAAATTATTTTCGCTTAAAAGTAAACAGCTTAGTTTGTACCTTTCCCTCTCTGCCTACCATATTTTATGAAGACTACACGTTCTGTTAATAGAAAACCAGAAGCACAAATACAGAGTTAAATTTACACTTTGATCTAAGTGAATGAGCAGCTGCCAAAAGGAAAGTCACCTGGAACAGAACTAAGTGATAACTAGAGAAAGTGAGAAAAACCCTGTGTTGAAAAAGAAGTACAGGGCGCCTGGGTGGCTCAGTGGGTTAAGCCTCTGCTTTCAGCTCAGGTCATGATCCCAGAATCCTGGGATCGAGCCCCTCATCGGGCTCTCTGCTCAGCAGGAGGCCTGCTTCTCTTCCTCTCTCTCTGCCTGCTTGTGATCTCTGTCAAATAAATAAATAAAATCTTAAAAAAAAAAAAAAAAAGAAAGAAAAAGAAGTACACCCAGTGTTTGTCCAAATCTCTACGTCAGGACAAGCACTCTTTCAGCTCACAATACCACCCTTTAGAAGGTATGAATCATGACAATTACTCTTAAGAAGCACAGCTACTTTCTCCTGTGAGTCAGCCTGCATCCAGACCCTCTGCTTTCCGTGCACGTGAGCATCCACCTTGGAAAGAACTAATACCGTGGGGAGCGTCAGAAAGCAGCGACAGAGTAAGATGTCAATGGGCCCCATGCTCTCTCCCAGAAACTGCATCAGTGTATTTACGAAATCTAGACTCCAGCGTCGGAGATTCACAGACCCTAAAGTCCATTATCTCTATGACACTGGGATCATTGATTAAGAAGAAATTCTGGAACTATCTCTTTAAAGCAGGTGAGTTAACCTTCTAATTCCAACCATTTTCTAGGTTGCATATGGATTTGAACGGCAAGCGCCTAAAATCATTAAGCACTTTGTTTGCTAACAGTATTGTTCCATGATGACAGGCCTCACCTCTACATCCATATGCCCATTTATTTAAAGCAGAAAGGATGGATGAAATCTACCCAAATTCATTGCAATATTAATATTACATTTCTCATGGCTCTGATCTATTCATCTCTAGATAAGGAATTGGGATGAAAACAAACTTTGCCAAAGGCACTTTTGGGCCTCTGAAACAGAATGGAAATGAAAAACCCAGTGCATTATTTGATGTAGGTGCTGAAAGACCTGGGGATAGTGTTAGGGACGAGATTGGGATAGGAAAACATTATGATGCAAAAGCTGAAGACAGTCAGAAAGGCAGAAATATATTCTAAAGGTCAGGAGATAATGCAATGAGTATAGAATAAATAATGTGGCTTTCAATTGAAATGTTACCATATAATGAGAGAAAAAACAGTGATTTGGAAGCAACTCTTAAGTAATAGGGACTAATTCATCTTCGCAAAGAGAACTCAGAGAGAAGGGAAGGTCTATCTTCTGGTCGCAGGGTTAACAGCCAGAAAATGCAAGGTTTCAGATAAGATAAGGAAGCAGAGAGAGTATATGGGAAAGATTCAGGGTAGGAGGTGTTTTTGTTGTTGTTGTTGTTGTTTAAGATTTATTCACTTATTTGAGAGACAGAGAGAGCAAGCGTGCCCAGAGGGGAGGGGCAGAAGGAGAGAGTCTTAAGCGGACTCTGCGCTGAGTGTGGAGCCTGACATGGGCCGAATTTCACGATCCTGAGATCCACAACCCTGAGCAAAAGCCAAGAGTCAGATAATTAACCGACTGTGCCACCCAGGTGCCCCCAGAATAGGAATTCTTAATCCAGGGCCCTAAAACTTTGAAACTTTGTGTATATATGTGTTTTTTCTGGGGAACATGTCCAGAATATTCTTCAAAGTTTCAAATACGTCTGTGATCTTCCAAAACATTAGGAAACATTGATCTGGATCAGGGTGACATACCAAAATGCTCATAAGGGTTATGCAATTAGCAGAAATGTACAATGCAGGCTGGGTTCACGCACTGCTCTGAAGCCTAACTTGAACTTAACCGCACTGCTTGTTAGAACACCTGCAGGAACAACAAAATCCAAACAGCAAAATGATCCAAGAGCAATACGCAGCCCATGGTGGCAGCTTATGATCTATCCTGAATAAAGATGGCCTTGTAGGAACATGGCCACAAAAGACGGGAGGATTTATAGAGCAGAGTGTAGGAAAAAATTATGAATCAGAGATAGATAAAGATGCAAAAGCGTAAGAAAAGGAAAACAGATTTTTGAAAAAATCAAATAATGAAAATATAGTAATATATATTAATTCAGGAAGGACAACTTTCCTACAAAGTAGGAATTGAGATTAAGGTATAGAACAAAAATAGTTACACAGGGCCATACACAATAATCTCAATACTTAAGATGAGTACTTCCATTTCTTGACATTTAATCCAGTCATCCCCCCCTCTCTCAAATAACTATTCTTGGTCCCATAGCTTAGTTATATACTTGATAAAAATATAAATAGAAGAACTCTTCTCTCAGAAATAAATGAAATATTTGGGTCACTTACCTCATTAAAACTATCCCACAGATCATCACTTTGAATGGATGCATAGCTATGATTATGCAGGTAAAAAACAACAGCATGTTGAAATACATCTTCACTGAGGTAAGTTTTCAGCATCAACAAGAGGGAAGCTCCCTATTTTTTAAAAAAGGGGAAATAATGGGAAATGAAATAAAAGGTTATAGAATTGAGAACCTAAAATTCAAAATATAATTATTCTAAGTATATTCTTATAGAGAACTAGTTATAATACGCAGCTATTTACTGTCATATAATCAGATGTGAATTGTGCTCAGATTGTCTGAAAAATTATTTTAAGGGATTTGACAAAAGAATAATGGGAGCAGATTCCCACGTGCACTAATTCTACTATAAGCTACTTTATGTGGTCTGTCAGTTCCTGTCTCAGTGCTATGATAAGTGTTTATGAATACATCTTTTTTTTTTTTTTTTAAAGATTTTATTTATTTATTTGTCAGAGAGAGAGAGCGAGCACAGACAGACAGAATGGCAGGCAGAGGCAGAGGGAGAAGCAGGCTCCCTGATGAGCAAGGAGCCCGATGTGGGACTCGATCCCAGGACGCTGGGATCATGACCTGAGCCGAAGGCAGCTGCTTAACCAACTGAGCCACCCAGGCGTCCCTGAATACATCTTTAATAGAAAAGCATGCCACATTTTTCTGTGGAATCCCCATCCCAATCCCAGAGCTCAAAATACCAAAAGTTGAATTCATGAGTTCACTGCCAGAGATAATCAACAAGCAGAGCTCCAGAGGCCTCTCAGCTTGGGAGTACATTAATTTCCAGTTTTAGTACATCATGTTGCTAACGTAACGAAGATCTCTCTTCTTCCTGCAGAGTCACTTCAACTATGCTGGAAACTAGTGAATGCATAGGGCAGAAAGCATACACTAATAATTCCGAACCCGGCATGCAACTGTTAAGGTTCTTCAGTGACACTAGACCATCGCGGAAGCCCAGGTCGTCATTTCCAAACAACATCTTTGGGAGGCCTTCCCTGATTCAAGATAGAAATAGTTCTCTAACTTCAAAAACAATTTATATCACTCCCTGCATCTGCTACAGATATGTATTTAATATATATATTTAGATAGATATTTAGGTAGATATACATTTAAGTATGTATTTATAGATGTAGATATATACTTATTTCCTCTTCTAGACTGTATGCTAGCTGAGGAAAATCCAAAAAGCTCAAATCCAGTGACTAAAACAGCACTTAGTAATGAAGGTACTCAAATAATCTTTGAATTTCACTTCTAGTAAAAATGTAGCAGTATTAAGCCATCAAGATGATCAGATATAGACAACTCAACTTAATACTTACTACTCCCTTTTTTCTATTTACTCCCTTTTTTCTTTATTGTGCTTCATGTTGTTACTTTTTCTATCAACTTAAGTACTCATTCCTGTTCCCAACAGATCCCTTTCACCCCTGCATCACCAACTTTCCCTCACTACTGTTACATTCCCATTAACAAAACTATGCAACATTCCTCATTTAAAGCAAATTAGATAATGTCCTTCCTTTCTTATGCCTCTTCCAGTTATCACCCTATTTCTTATACTCCCTTTGTAGTAAACTCCTTAAAAGAGCTGTCCACATCTGCCATCTCCATTTGCTCTCTTACCGCTTTATGTAGACCCATCATCCAACCATCACTAAAAATGTTTTTATCAAGGTCACTGGAGAACTTCATGGTGTCAAACCAATGGTTATTCCCACACTCAACTTATCAACCTGCTAGCAGCATTTGATATGACTGATTACTCACTCCCCCTTTAGAGTCTTTCTGCACTTGGCCTTGGGACACCCTCTTGATTCTCCCCCTAATCACTGCCCATCGTTCTCAGTCTCTTGCTAGATCCTCATCTCCATGGAACCACCTCATTTTGGTGGCTCTTGGCATTTAAATTTTAGACCTTTTCCCTTTTATTTCAAAATTTACTTCCTAGTTGATCTCAACAGACATCCTATATCAGAATTAGGCTTAGAGATTAAAAAACCCAGAAAGAATATGTCTGTCAAACACATTTCCCTAATCATGCTTATTTGTTTTTGCATACAATATTGGTAAATTACTCAGTGTCCCACTTTTCCCAATTATGTGGGATATTTGCCCAAATATTCGAAAATCCTGATTCCAAAATCCTGAAATAAGTAGTTACCATACTGACAGGAGTTAGATATGCTGTAGAAAACAAAAGATCAGAAGACACTGAATTCAGGGTTTAGGGGGCGGGGGTCAGAGGATGATGGAGCTCAGTCAAAACAAATCTTGAAGTTACAGCTTTATACAAGAACAGAACCCCAAGTTTAAACATTTTTGTCAACAGATCCAATACAGGCTTTAAAAATCACAGCAGCAGCTCTGATTGGAATATATTTAATATAGCTAACTAAATTCCTGATTCCTTATTTGTTAACAGCATAACCATTTTCCATGCCAGTCAGGTGTTTGCCTGGGAAACATGGCTACCTCTTTGTTTACCTGCCTTCCCCTGTCACTAAATCCTTCCAGAACTTCCCTCCACCCAGTGCTTTTACAGTCATCATTTTCCTTCCACTTTCAGTACCACTCCTAATTTCACACTTTGACCACATCGTGTTAGGACTTCCTTTTTTTTTTTTTTTTTTTTTTAAAGCGCATGAGTGGGGGTGGGGGGAAGTTGTAGCAGTAAAGGAAGAAGCAAACTCCCCACTGAGCGGGAAGCCCAACACAGGGCACGATCCCAGGACTTAGAGATCATGATCTGAGCCAAAAGCAGACACTCAGCCATCTGAGCCACCAAGATGCCCCTGATCTATGGTGATCCTAATCAGGTTTCTAGTTTTCTGTTTTTGCTTTACTCCCAAACCTGGAGTCTATGTTTCTGATCCTGCAATCTACTTTTCAGTTCTTACAATCTCTTTTTATTTATGCGTTTTGGCAATTGTGACTTTGGAACATGCCTCAATTGTCAATAACCCAGCCAAGGGCTTGCTTAGAACATCCCCTGGATATATTCTATCTGTAGATCTGTAGACTGAACCAACTTTAAGAGATATATGGCTGTATGATCTGATTAACTACCCAGAATACCAGTTACAGAACTTAAATGAGAACAGAGATATGGAGAAAAACCCAGAAAAGTTAAAACCAAGATTTAAATAGAAGCAAACATGAAAATAATCTTAAAATATAATCTTTAAAGTAATCTAAATCATGCAGCTTGCTCACATATGAAATTAATTTGAGGGGCGCCTGGGTGGCTCAGTGGGTTCAGCCGCTGCCTTCGGCTCAGGTCATGATCTCAGGGTCCTGGGATTGAGCCCTGCATTGGGCTCTCTGCTCAGCGGGGAGCCTGCTTCCCCTTCCCTCTCTGCCTACTTGTGATCTCTCTCTACCTCTGTCAAATAAATAAATAAAATCTTAAAAAAAAAAAAAATTAATTTGAAACCCATTCCAGGTACTTGGTGTACCGAGCAGTACCTTAAAATAGGAAAGAGAATCAAACATTTCTTCAATCTGTTCTGAAGACTCAACAGATGATGATGATATTGGATGAGATGAATTCAAGGAATCTTTCTTCATGGTTTTAAATCGAGCATCTAAGAAATCTTCATACTAGCAAAAACATTAAACAGATTAGGAAACCACAAAAAGTATCAAAGGCAAAGGCAAGTATAGTAATTATTTATATGAGTTAGACTAATAACTGTTTAAATTCATTATTAAAAAAAATCTTCACTAGACTTTAGAAAATAAGCTTTTAAAATGTAGGAATACAGCAACTTTCATTTGTATTCCTTAAATTAAAAAAAAAAATTATAACCTCCTAGCCACACTGAAAAGCATTGTTTCTTAAACCATGCCGTAAGAATAAATTAAGAATCTATTACTAAAGCAACCAAATGTGTCAAGTCCAGAGAGAAAATCAAAGTAAATATTCTAAAATGGTTAGTGTACATTTTTAAAATAGCATCTGAAATTAAAAAACGAAAATAAAAATTGGTCCTTAAGCCAACTTTTCATACATGGTTTCTATTAAGATAATAGACATTTCCCTTAACTGAGATTCATTCAAAATAAAATATGACACTTAAACAGAATTCATTGATAGCTCAGTAGACAAGCTCCCCTAGAATATCCATTAGAAGGTTTTAAACATTCTGGGCACCACCAAGTGGTGAAACTGTATATCTCATTGCTCAATTAAGTAACACACATAGATTTAGAATATTTTGCTTAGTATTCTGGTTCCTTCTACCCACCTGAAGTTTTTGAACAGGACTTACATAAAAAGTTCAGATTAAAAGCTCTTAAGAGTATCCCTATTTTGAAACAGTCTTGGATCATATACCCAGGAAGTTTAATATAAAGTCAGAGAATTTTAGGGCTGAATGGGATCTTTATTTACACACTCCCACCTATTGCTTGGATTATTTGGCAATACCTATTGTACTACGGCCTGGTGTGTTCAAATATCTCTAATGATAGGAAACATCTCCAGAGTCTAATAATACAGTATCATTATTATGACCTCTATGACAGAATGATATCTCAATGATATTAGAAAGGGTACAAAATTTTTAGAAAGGGTACAAAATATGGTTTGTATCTTAACAGGGCAAATTACTTGTCTGTATCAGTCTATGTACCATGTTACAAGAAGGATCACAGTAAAAACAGAGAGATAACATTGTCTTAATTTCTTTCTCCCTTTATACAAACGATAAAATGTTTTGTTGTCCAAAAAAGGTTTATCAACTTTATCTAAATTCCTTCAAGGAGAAGGGCCACATCTCTTAAAAATAAAATGTAACAAAGTGATTTAAAATGTTCATCTTAACAAAGTATAAAATAATTTCACATAACTTCAGCTTTCAATGAAACATTTCAATAAATAAAAGCTTAGTTTTCATTGCCAAGTGTCAAGAGGTTGAAGATTTATCAGCAACAAGGATCAATTTTATCTTTCTAGAAACACTTTCATTTCTCCAAATGGCAAATATGAGAGTATGTATAACAAACGGTGTACTTACACTGGAGAGCTCTTTAAATATTTTTTCCAAAGAGAAATACTCCATGAATGTAGCAAACCCTTCATTTAGCCACAGATCGTTCCACCACTCCATTGTGACCAGATTACCAAACCACTGTGGGGAAAAAACAAACTACTAACCAACACAGTATTTACATTCTTAAAAATGTCCTAATAATTGAATTGTCAGATTAATCACCTATATCCAGATTATAACTACTTAAAAATAGTTATTAAACAAACTACGTTCAAATTAAACACTTATGAGAAAGTTTGTATATATTTACTCTAAAATGAAAATAAAAATTTTAATATTTTACTCTGTTGAATGGGAAAACAAGCAAGAAACACAATTCGCATACTTATCAAATTAACACACACACTGTTTGCTAGGTAAAAACAGTTTTTAGCCACTGCATTAAAAGTATTATTTCCTAGATAATGAAATTCTTTTACCTTCTAATATTAAGTTATTAAGATTATTTCCATTCTATCTACAGCCATCCATGACACCTAAGAAATAAATTTGTATGTGACAGATTTTCCTACATAAGCCCAGGCTTCATGTTTCTCCTCAGGCACTTGAGAGGAGGTATTTACAGGATTCAAAACAGAATTCAAGTAACGTTCCTTAAGATAGTTGGCATGCATATAAATAAAGGGCATCAGAAAGTTCTTTAAATGTCTTCTTCTATGATATAACTGTAAGAAGGTTAACAATGATAGGAGACTCTCCTAAAAAAAAAAGTATCTCAAAAATCCCCAAAATGGAGAGTGGTGGGTATGCAATTTAGTGTGGCCTACGGCTCATCTCAAAACAGCAGCAAAATAATATTACTAGGTATTGAAACAGAACAGTTTTGAGAATTATAATAACATGCTTTTCAAAGATATTATCTTTAAACCTGTTTCAGAGGAATATGGTTTCTAAGACTTAAAGCAGAAGTAACAGAGAAGTGGTGATGGGTGGCTCCACGCATAAAAGACCAAGAGGATATCCTCTAAAGGACAACGTGGCTACATGCCCAAAACCATGACTGTCAATAAAAATGTGCTTCAGATGTCAGCCTGTTATGAAGTGTTCAAAAGGGCTCCAGAGTTGCACATATATGGTGTTTGAGACAGGAAGCAAACTGACCAGAGCATGTGCACTCTTCTTCCACATCCCCCTTCTGCCGTGACACCCCCAAACCATACTCAACACTGTTTTGTTTTGTTTTTTTTAGATTTTATTTATTTATTTGACAGAGAAATCACAAGTAGGCAGAGAGGCAGGCAGAGAGAGAGGAAAGCAGTCTTCCTGCTGAGCAGAAAGCCCAAAGCGGGGTTCGATCCCAGGACCCAGATATCATGACCTGAGCTGAAGGCAGAGGCTTTAACCCACAGAGCCACCCAGGCACCCCCATACCCAACACTGTTAAGCCCCTCAGCAAGGGACAAAAGAAAGACGAGGTGTTGGGGAAGAAAACAGGATGTTCACATACCCACATAATTTTCTTTCTTTTTCTCCTTATCATACAAAGAGTACCCTCCCTCTCTCAAATTAACAAAGAACAGAGTTTGAGAAGGAGAAGAAAACATAAATCTAGTCCTGACAACTACAGTCCAAGAGTTTTGAGAACAGAGTGAAATTTAGGGGAGGGGTTTGTCCACCACAAAGCTATACTGAGCAGCTGGCATCTGTCAGGGGTGAAATAGATCTCTATCGTTACAGGGCAAGAAAGGAGAGGCAGATCTTGAGTAGACAGTGGTCTTCAAGCCCAGTGCTGCCAATTATTAATTGTATGACTTTGGGTAAGTCATTTATTTAAACTGAGTCTCAGTTTCCATATCTGTAAATTGGGATTATCACCTACCTCAGAGCAGTTATGAAAAGTAAGTGAGATAATGGATGTGCAAATGCTTTATAAACTGTAAAATCCTACACAAACATGAGAAAGCATTTTCATTTGAAATCAAGTTTGTGTTAGAAAACACCCAGGGGCACCTGGGTGGCTCAGTCTTTAAGCATCTGCCTTCAGCTCAGGTCATGATCCCAGGGTCCTGGGATTGAGACCCACATCAGGCTCCCTGCTTGTAGGGAAGCCTGCTTCTCCTTCTCCCACTCCCCCTGCTTGTGTTCCTGCTCTCACTATCTCCCTGTCAAATAAATAAATAAATCTAAAAAAAAAAAAAAAAAAAAAAAAAAACGAAAAGAAAATACCACTTTATTATGAAAGAAGGCAATACTACAATAGAACGCTGACTTTCTTATTAGCATCTAATTCTACTCTAAAACTCTAGGATATGAAAGAGAAATGAAATACAATATTCTTGGCTACTAATACCTGATGGGATAGCTCATGAGCAATAATTTTAGTAACCAGTTTTCTGTCCGCCACTGAAGAAGTATTGTTGTCATACAGAAGTGTTTCTTCTCGGAAGGTGAGCAAACCCCAATTTTCCATTGCTCCTGCTTCAAAGTCAGGAATAGCCACCAAATCTGGACATAAGAAGAAAGAAGTGATCAACTTTCCTTCATCTAGGGCTCCCTAAATAAAAATATTTTACCCATTGGTTTACAACTGTGAATCAAGAGATAGTGAGGTCATTTTATACTCAGCAAATGGAAACCTACTCCTGTCTTGTACGTTCCCCACCTGTCAGTCAGTTGAGAAAGACCTGAACCATCCCTTTAGAGTCACTGCTCCCCTGTCATTTAGCGAAGGAAGAGAAACCTAATTCCTTCACAATGAATCAACTTTCTAGAGCAGGGAGGATAAGGTGCAGATCTGACATTCCTCTATCTAGCTCCTGGTTAAACAGCTCTGACATGCTCTTGCTTTCCTGAGCTCCCAATACTCAATTCTTGTTATTTGAATCAGGAATTTCTTAGGAGGTGAGAATTAGTCAAACTCCAGACTAAGCCCTAAGCAAATTCCCACGCACACAGCTTATACACTGTGTAAGCCCTTTTAACACCTCCATAAACTTCTAAATGTTTTAAGCTCCACATTTAGATGTTTTTATGGAATCTGAATAATCTCAACAAATAGAGACAATTTTTAAAGATTTAAGTGTTTCTTAGTTTTCTTTTAAAATAACTTTGGCAACAGTTTTCTAAAAAAACATTTGCAAAATGAATCTAGGTTGTAAAAGTAATGAAAATCAGAGGCATTGTTTGATTCTTACCCAATTTCTTAAGCGGGTACTGAATTTCAAAGTAGTTTTGATAGAATTCAAGAAGCTTCACAGTTGTTTCCAAGGCATGGTGAACTTGACCAATCTTTTCTGGTACAGCATATATAGAAACCTAAAAGAAAACATATACATATGTGTATATATGATGTAAAGACAGGTACAACCAAAATGGCATGATAGTCATGTGAATACTGTGAAGCATATGTGAGAACTGAAAAAAGAGTTTTATGAGATTTTATAGGACAGAAACTCTTGCTTCCAAATCAATAAGCCCCTGGAGAATTTAGCAAGTCACTTCCACACATACCACCATGTTCAAAAACTTACTGATTTTTTTTAAGTTAACAGAACATCCCAAATAAACTATTTGGGTCATATCATAGCAACATATAAGCAGTTGCCTATTAATTTCATGATACTTGTCTTCTCCATTACCTAAAGTTGCCCTTCCTAACCTATGAGCTATCAAGACTGAAAAATTTGAAGGACAAAACAAATTTTCCTCTTTTTAGCACTTTTACAGTACCTGGCATCAAACAGGCACTCAACACAGAGGAGTCACATAAGGGAGTTAGCTCTAAAGCAAACATACAAGGCAGAAATTACACATTTGTTGAAATTACCCTGGGAAAATTTGTTACAGACCAATGCATGCTTTGTCAGTAAGTATGGCAAGCCTGTTTTTCTTCCAGCCTTGGGATAGCTTACTTTTTTCCAGTTGTTGGCGTGTTTTCATGGGTCATGTTGTATAAGAAATAATCACACCAAACAGAATCCAATGCTCAGTGAGTGGCACACAGTAACTAAAACCAACAAAGGGGATAATAAATCCATGTGCATTCCCTTCAGGATACATGCTCACAAAGAGGGGAGGCAGGCATATCTGATTGCCCACATCATTTAAATTGCTATTTTTTCTCTCTTTTTCTAAGTGCATAAGTTAAACACATAAGCTATAACTATCAACATCTTATTCAATAAGTATCAAAAGGCAAGTTTTAAGCAATTTTATGTTAAAAGCAATGGGTTCTTAAAAAGCATTATTTATTGTTTTTCAGTTGATTGAAAAAAACAGAAGCCTTCTATACTCACCTGGGAATGAGAGATATGGCCAAGACATAGTAGAAAATAAAAACTTTAAAAAAAAAATCTCAACTAATGGGAAATGGAGACTTACTGAATAACTCACCACTTGCAAAAAATGCACTGAACTCTAATTCAATTCTCTCATTAAAGGGCTAAAAAACTGTCGACAATTTCTAAAAGGTCAAATAGTTTTCAGTCAGAGTTGTCCTTATGTGGGGCTTTAGTCTACAGTTAATCACAAAAACATAGAGGTAACACAGAATAAAAATTAAATGTAAGGAAAAAAAATTAAACAAAAATAAATCTCAGCTAGTTGTACGACCTTGAGCAGTTTGGTTAACTCTCCTTGTTGGGTGAGAAAAGTAACTCCTACCTTCACTGGGTTGCTGGGAAGATCAAATGGGCTAATACATATATAGAACTTAGACTAGTTCATGACACGATGTAAGTGTTCAATAAATGGTAGTTAGTAGTATCATTATTATTATTAAAAAATACAGAAATGGGGTAAAATATGTGTGAGTAGAGCATTTGTGCCAACATATAGGAAAAATAACCTATCTAGAACTAGAGTTAATCAGTTAAAACTATATTGTTAAGGGAACTATGAAAGAAATTTAACCTCTCGCCTCATGTGGCCAAGAGTACTTCACCAGCCCAGCACTTTGCCATCTGTAGTCCTTCGTGACCAGTTTATTGAATGCAGTCACCACTTGCCAAAGGAACTATAAGCTCATTCCATTGATGTGTGTACTTCCTGCATCCTATCCCTCTGCAGTCAATGTTAGTGGGGGGAGGGGAGGAAGACTGACATATTCTGTTACAATCTCTAACTTCCATTGTAAATGACTATACCAAGATCACTAGGAATTTGAGACAAATCTCAAATTATCTCTGCCTATTCTTTCCAGAAACACATATTTTATATTATAGTCAACACATTAACCTCCAAGATCTATCCCAATGAAAATACCACCCATGTCCTCCAGATTCCTCCTCCAACATCCCTCTGCCACACATACCATTTGGCCACGCCTCTCTCTATGTGTGAAAGCACCTTTCTTTGGAGGAAAAATAAAGGAGGAAGAAGAAATTCACATGAAACTAAAATCTGACCAAGGCATCCATTTAGTTCCACTTCTGGAATACAGTGATTAGGAAAAAAGATAGTTTATTATTTTCTCTCCCCCGCCTTTTTCTTCCCTTAAAGAATGATGTGCTATGAGTTCTCACTAGATAAATCATCTGGTAATTATCATTATTAGCAAGCTTGTTTTAAGAGCAAAAGAAGCAGTAAGAAACAGAACAACCTAATTCAACAATAACAAAGAAGTCTTGACCAGTATTCTGGGCTTGATAAGAGCAACTCTAAACACTGTCAAATGGAAGTCAACTAGCATTCAGAACTTAAGACTTACAGCTTAAAACATGGTGTGTACATCTGACTAACCAGCACTGCACTCTATGATTCTACAAATTAGACTTGTCTACGATAAAAACAAAATCGGGCAATGGCAAAAATAAAACAAAAACCTCAAGACAAACAAAGCGGTGTATTTCAAAACTGGTGTAGAATTTTCTAGGTAATTCTGGCATTTCTGAAAACAGAAAGAGGTGTAAAGAACACTGAAAGACCAGACAGAAATGATAAAGACAAATGTTCCTCTTTCTTTAAAACTTTGACAATGTAGTGATCTTTATCACTAAAGAGGGCATGTTTAATAACTTTGACATTTCTAGCTCTTTGGTAAGACTGACATTAGTAAATAAAGCCCCACTGCCTTATTCCTGAATCTTGTGATATAGGCCTAATGTCAACTACTACATAAAATAGAATCCATCCTAAAGATTTTAGCGTAAGAAAAATCCTTTGTTAGACTTCAAGTTGAGATTTCTGGTCACCATACATACAGAAGTTATTTCTGTCACTGGGTATAAGCAGCAGCACATTGTTGTGGACAGTATAATCCTGACTCTCACTTACTATGTAATCTTGGGTCACTTAACGCAACCTCTCTGAGACACTGTTTCTTCCTCAGCAATACGGGATTAATGTTTCCTTCCCGTGTGGTTTATGAACCAAGAAGGTATTTATAAATGAGTGCCTAAGACAGAGGCCAGCACAGAGTATAGCTCCATGAGTATTAGAGTCTTCCCTCATCCTAATAAAAAGAGAGAAAATTAATGAAACAACTGTTTATTTGTATAACATTTATTTTTTATTTTTTAGAACACGTTTTGGAATATGCAGGTGCTGGGCAGCATTAAAAGTTAAGACTTTACAATCAGAAAAAGACAATTATCATATGATCTCTCTGACATGAGGAATTTGAGATGCAGGGCAGGGGGTTGTGGGGTCTAGGGAAGGAAAAAATGAAACAAGATGGGATCGGGAGGGAGACTAACCATAAGAGACTCTTAATCTCATGAAACAAACTGAGGGTTGCTGGGGGGTGGGGGTAGGGAGATCGTGGCTGTGGGGGTGATGGACACTGGGGAGGGTATGGGCTATGGGGAGTGCTGTGAAATGTGTAAGCCTGATGATTCACAGACCTGTACCCCTGGGGCAAATAATACATCATATGTTAATAAAAATAATTTTTAATAGTTATGACTTTATATTCACAGACATACAAGGAAGTTCATGTATGTTTGCAAATGGATAAAAAAAGAGTACCCTTTGTGTGTGTGTGTGCGTGTGTATTACTATCTCCCAGGCAGTATTTTACAAAAAAAAATTACCATTTAATCCTTGAGAGGGCAGGCTAATATAGGCAATACAGCACTAGATTTGTAGAAGGTGAGGTTTAGGCAGGATTACAGAGGAATCTGCTCAAGAGCACATCCTAGGAAGCTATAGAGGAGGGACTCCAGAGCACATGTTTAACCATGTTGCTTCATAACATGCAGAAATTAAAAGGAAAGAAAAAGCCACCCCAAATACCTCTCTCAGTCTCAATCAGTCACTTTCCTGCTCTCTCCATTTCCCCTGCCCCCCTCTCTATATATGAGAATAAGGTATATATCTGAGCAGTGGATAGTTCAGCTTGGCCAAATCCATACTAGAGCAATGAGAAACAAAGACGGATTTCTAAGAGAGCCCTGAAGATCTGAATGATGAGTTTAAATGTAATCCTAGAGGCAGTAAGAAGGAAGGAGGAAGGGAGGAAGGGACAGAGGGGAAAGAAAAAGCTAAGACTGCATATATTTTGGGACACAATAAAAAGTGCTGGGGGTTTTATATCAAAGAGTGTGATAATTACAACAGAGATGTAACTAAAGTGCTATGAAAGATCACAGAGGGAATGATTAATCCCAGCTGGGGAAAGAATGAACTGCTTCAAGGAGAGGATGGTATTCAGCTGGGTTTTGAAGAAGCAAACCTGACTCTCCTAGGTTGAGCCTTTTGGATTTTATCCAGGCTGCAACATGTGAATCAACAGCCCAGTCTGTGGTGTGATGCTTGAAGAAAAATTAATTGAATTTTATCAGATTTAAACCAATCTCACTATCCTTTTCAAAGGATTCTGAAAAATTCTTTGGTATAGACTTGACAAAAACTCTTTCAGGCCAAAGATTTGTAAATCATTTAAGCACTTGGCCATTATATAGTCTACACGTAACCTTGAACGCTGAAACTTCGTGAGTCATTCCATCTTTTACTGCTGAGCATAATGGCATAGGGTATCACTGCTGATGAAAAGCCATAATCCTCATCTCTTCCCTTACCTCTAAGAGTTATGCGGTAGCCCTGATAAGCTTTTCTAACAGAATGAGTATATGCTTTTTGATTAGCAAAATCTAAATATAATGTGATTAAAATAAAGCTTTAAATCTAAAAAGGAAAGCCAGCTCCACCTGAATGTGTTCAAAGAGTAAAAATATTCCCTGAGGTGATCAAAATATGAAAAAAATCTAAAAATTATATTTCTATCATGAAGAATAATCATTTTTAGTTTAAAAAAGACCCTTTCTCCTATAGTGTTAGTGTATGAAAATATTAACTAGGTCTCTATGGTGAAATTA